CGCGCTGCTGTCGGGGGGCGGGTGCAGCACCACGGGCGCGTTATCGTTCTGGTCCTGCACCACGATTCGCAGCACCGCCTGGGCGCTGAGCGGCGGCGAACCGCCGTCACTGGCGCGCACTACCAGCTCGAAGGCACGCACCTTCTCATAGTCCAGTGGACGCAATGTCCGGACGGTTCCACTCTCCGCATCCACGGACACGAACGGTGCCGCGGCGGGGGTTCCCGGTGGAGGTGCCTCTATTGCATATCTCACATGTGCGTTTTCTCCCGCGTCAGCGTCTGTGGCTCTCAGGCGGCCCAGGCTCGTCCCCGCGGGCTCGTTTTCGCTCATCACCATGGTGTAAATGTCCTGGATGAAGGTGGGCGCGTTGTCGTTCACATCCAAGAGCCGCACGAGCAGTGTCTTGGACGTCGAAAGCGCGGGTGAGCCTTGGTCACGGGCTCGCACCGTCACGTTATACTCTGCCACCTGCTCCCGGTCCAGCGCCTCCGATGTCACCAGCGCGTACGCGTCGGCTGCCAGCAGAGAGATGCTGAAAGGTTGCTCACCTGCCAGCTCGCAGGTTGTCCTGCCATTGTCCCCCGAGTCCCGGTCCCGCACGTTGAAGAGAGCGACCACGGTGTTCGGCGGGGCGGCTTCCGAGAGGGTGCTGGTGAGGGAGGTGATGATCACCTCGGGGGCGTTGTCGTTCACGTCCTCCACCTGCACCTCCACCTTGCAGTGCGCGGACAGGCCCCCTCCATCTGTTGCCTGGACGTCTATCTCATAGGTCTTTGTTTCTTCATAATCCAAAGGCTTTTTGAGTCGAATCTGGCCTGTCTCTGGATTTATTTTAAACGTCTCGAAATTTTCCTTTGAATTTTGAACAATTGAATAGGCTATTTCCCCGTTTGTTCCTGAGTCTAAATCGCTAGCAGACACCACCACCACTAAGGTATCCTGTGAGATATTTTCCCTAACGGGGACTTTATACAGACTCCGAGTAAATACTGGAATGTTGTCATTTATATCCAGGACCACTACGCGGATTAAGGCTGTACCAGAGAGGGGTGGAGTCCCACCATCCACAGCTGTGATGCTGAAAGCAACTTCTGCCTGCTGCTCCCGATCCAGGGCTCGATCCAACACCAGCTCGGCGTACCTCCTGCCGTCATTGCGCTGCCGAGTGTACACATGGAAATACTCGTTGGAGCTGATACTATAATGCTGAAGACTATTGTTCCCCACATCTGGATCCTGAGCACTTTCCAACAAAAACCGAGTCTCTGGCATTGCAGATTCCGGGATCTTTAAAACTATCTCTTTATTTAAGAACACAGGAGCATGATCATTAATGTCGGTGAGTCTTACCTCAGCTCGGAAGGACTGCAGTGGGTTCTCCAGCAGCACCTCGAAACGCACCAGGCAAGGCTCACTCTGCCCGCACAGCTCCTCCCGGTCCATCTGCTCTCTCACCACCAAATCCCCGGTGTGCTGGTTCAGCTGTAAATACTGTTTTTCTCCATCAGAAACGAGTCGAGCCTGACGAGCCGATAATTCCTCACTGGTCAGTCCCAAATCCTTAGCGATATTCGCCACAAAGGAGCCTCTCTCCGCCTCTTCGGGCACAGAGTACCGAGCGATTTCTGCTCTCATCCCCGAGACACAGAGGAGAAGGAACAGAGCCACCGCTCGCCCCGGGAGCGGCTCCTCGCTCTTCCTCAGCTTCATTCTCTTCCTGCCACCCGATCTCCCCTCCTGGGAGCTGGATGGAGCTGCCGATACAGCCTGCCGACCCCCGGACGGAGCAGTCTGAGATGGTGCAGCCCCGCCCGCCCGAATCCCGGGGGCGGCGGAGATGGAAACTGGGAGATGCGCGGAGCCTCCGTGGTCAGCAGCGGCACCAGGCGGCCGATCTGCGGAAGGACGCGAAGATTTCCCAGCACAAAGCCTGGAAAGTAGAGATTAACGGCTCGATTTCTCTCTTCCGAGGTCAAACAATACAGATTTAACTGTCCATTCAATCCCGTTCAAATATGGCCACCATTTGAATAAGCAACACCTGTTTGTCTTTTATTTGAAAAAGAGATTTCTTTAAATCCGGGGTTTGTAGGGGTTTCTTTTCCCCTCTTTTTTCCCCCCTGACGTGCCTCATTCTAACGATTTGAATAAACTACTTTCTGACTGTTTAGCTAAAAAAAGCTGTATATTGTTACAGGCGTCCAACAAACCAAGTGAGCTGGTCCATTAACCACGTCAGAAATCGTCGTGGTGCTCCCCATAGAAATTCTCAGAATGGACCAAGATTGTTCATTCATTTCCCTTCAGTCTGGGAGCAACATCTCTCGGACCTCAACTTGGCTCCTAAAATCCCCCTCCACCTTGCTCTGGCTTCTCAGAACGGCCTACTTCCCAGGTGGTTCTGATTTCCCCTGCATAAAATCCACTCCAAATTCACGGATTTATTCCTGAAATCCTGCTCCTTAGGTGGCTATTTCCTCAGCGATGACTGTGACAAGTGATCTCGAGACAGCACACTCACCCGAGGGACTTTCAAATAGGTTTTATTGTTTTCTGTCAGCAGGCATCTAACTCTTAAAAATGTGCAGGCGACAGGAAATATCACATTACTTTATAGATCAATACCTATTAACGAAGAAAAAGAAAACAGAAAGCTTCTTGAAGGCCTATGTTCTACAGTGCCCTAAGTTAATTGTAAACAGTTCAGACTGTTTTACTCTAAAACCACAAGCAGTACTTTTAATTGTCTACTAGTTTACACTGAAAAATCCTTAAATATTAATTTCAATTTTACCTTATTAAAACAAACAAACAAGCAACACCCTCCCCAACAAAACAAAATAAAAGGACATTGCTCAAAGCCCACTCTTTACAGTAAGGAGAGCCTGTAAACTCCTGCCAATGCCAGTGGTTTCTAATACAGATAGCTTCTGCCTGTTATTAAGAAATTCCTTTGCAAGCACCACTCAGTTTTGCTTAATATTTGTTTGGCCTAGTATTAAAAAGAGGGAAAAAAATTAAGACATTATTACAGAGCTCTCTCCATAAAAACAAACAAAACCCACCAAAAATCCCATAGAAAAGGTGGCACAGGAAAAAGCTGAAGATCTGCTGCAGTTTTCAGTATTTCCCTTAACGTGTAGAAGCAATAGCACTTCCACAATCATATATTATTGTGTAATCAGCATGCAACACAGTCCTCCTCCTCCATTGGCATCACAATTACAAAATACCTACGTAAATAAAATACTGCTCAAGAGGAGAGTGTTTCTGCTCTCTCACAGAGAAGCCTTCATCTCCCTGGTACCTTTTAGGGAGGTGTTTGATCTCTTCGTTCTCTTTTCCCTGTGAGGACAGACATACTTGTCTCTCTTCATTTACTGATGGCTGAGCCAGGGATTTTGATCAGAAGTGACATTTAACCCCAGCCCCCCGTTTGCAGTGCAAGCTGCTTCTGCAGCTCCGGGTCCTGTGTCTTCAGACAGGGGGGCTCTGCCCTGTAAAAAACAGAGAGACTGGTTGTCTTTTGGGCGTTGAAGGGAAGCAGGTATCATCGAGAAGCTTGGAGGGCATGTCTTACACCACTGCCTGTGTGACACTTCTCTACCCAGAGCCAAAGAGGAGGTTGGTGGGTCTCCGATCCGAACAGGGAACATCTAAAGTCAGAAACCATCCTCCACTGCGGACAACGCAAAGGCACTACTGCAAAACTTTTATGATTCTCAGGGAGTAATTCAAGATGGCAAGAGCCCCAAATAAAACCCCTTTCTCACAAACAGTAAATGTGGTTTAATGCTGATGTATCAAGAAGGGTTGTTGTCTGCCCTGAAGCTACTGCGGCTCTGAAAACCTGCAGTAAAGTGTGAGTCCAAGTGGTTATGAAATACTAAAATGTTAAGGGGTGACTTAAGACAGTATTAGAGGTGACTCGGACTCACTGGGAGAGTGAGGAGATTCAATGATCATCTCTTGTGTCCCCCACACTCTTTGAACACACGGAAGTTAACAAGAGCTCAGATGTGACTCACTCTGAGTTCACAGAGGGCTGGTACTGCCTGGGAGCACCAGGCTGGGTCAGGAAAAGACTGCGAGGGTGCATTGTAAAGTCCCGATAACCACATTTTCCTCGCCGATACTGTTCATGCAAGTCACAAAAATACAAGGGAATTGAATGGCAGGGGTACTCACCTCCGTAGCCTCGAGCAGCTTGAGTTTAGCACTGCCACCACCACCCTGGTGAATGGCACTCGGCAGCGCCGAGCACCAGCTCCTAACAGCGGTGCAGGGGACACTGTCAGTGAAGTGACACCCCTTTGAAGTTGTCCCCTCAGTCTCATCTGACACTGCACAGGATCACTACATTCCCACTACCGCCGCCTCCGGGAGGATGTGTCCCTGGAAGCGGTACATTCCTGCTCCCCATGGGCTCCACACAGTGCTCGGACAGGATCCAAAATGGAGACACATTTCTACCTCTAATTCTCACCTTCTCGTGGTCCAGCTGCTCCCCTTTGCAGTGACACTGAAGACTTGCTTTAACACGAATACTCAGCATAGGTATGGGTGCAGTTACCCGGAGAGGTGAGAGATGCCTCATCCCTGGAAATATTCAAGGTCAGGCTGGATGGGGCTCTGAGTAATTTGATCTAGTTGAAGATGTCCCTGCTCCTTGCAGGGGGGTTTGGACTCGATGGCCTTTAAAGGTCCATTTCAAGCCAAACTATCCTATGCTTCTATGATGCAGAGAAGCGAGGTTAGTCAGCATATGGGAAGCAGCTGAACCCTGCTGGATCCTCCTGGGAGGCACCGCCAGAGGCTCTGAGACCTCCTTTAACTTCTCCTCCCGCCACAGGGACCCCTCCACTAGCAGCTCAGCATCTTCCTTGCTAGCAGGACGTGACACATCCCCCTATCCTCCCCCTGCGGACAGGTCCCTCACCTGTGCAGCCCAGTCGCCTTCTTCCCCAAGATTGGCCACATCTTGCGAGCACACTGAGCTCCGCTGTTCTCCCGGGCCGGGAGGCAGCCCGGCGGGGAAGCAGGGGAAGAGGGGTCTGAGGAACCGAAACTCGCTGTTGACGGTCCCGGCGGCGAAGCAGACATCGTACAGGTAGCTGCGGGGCAGGGAGCCCGCACTGCTCTCCGTGGCTATCGTCGGGAACGTGGGCAAGGTCTCCGTCTCCCTCCGCCTGGCCCGCCGCACCTTCACCACCGCGGCGGCCAGCGCGGTGGCGAGGAACAGCGCCGACACGCAGGCCAGGGAGGCGATGAGGTAGAGGGTGAGCGGCCCGTCGGGATCAGCGGCCGGTGCCTCCTCGCTCACCCGCAAATGCGCTTCGGAGAAGCCGTCCACCAGCGCGACGGCGAGGCTGGCGGTGGCGGAGCGCGGTGGGTGCCCGCGGTCCCGCACCAGCACAACGAGCCTCTGCCGGGGCGCGTCCCTCTCCGTCACGGCCCGCGCCGTGCGCACCTCGCCGCTGTGCAGCCCCACGCGGAACAGCCCCGGCTCCGTGGCCTTGGCCAGCTCGTACGACAGCCACGCGTTCTGACCCGCGTCCGCGTCCACCGCCACCACCTTGGCCACCAGGTAGCCCGAGGGTGCCCAGCGCGGCACCAGCTCTCCCGCCGCGCTGCTGTCGGGGGGCGGGTGCAGCACCACGGGCGCGTTATCGTTCTCGTCCCGCACCACGACGCGGAGCAGCGCCTGGGCGCTGAGCGGTGGCGAACCGCCGTCACTGGCGCGCACTGACACCTCAAAGGCACGCACCTTCTCGTAGTCCAGCGGGCGGAGGATATAAACATCCCCGTTTTCAGCGTTGACTGACACCTCGGGCTGCTCCTTGCCCTCCTGCCGCACCAGCGCGTAGTTTACGCGGGCGTTTTTTCCTGCGTCGGCGTCCGTGGCGTTCATGCTGCCGATCCGGAGCATGGGGCTGTTGTTCTCCGTGACCGACATGGTGTAAATCTCCTGCGTGAACTCTGGGGGATTGTCGTTCACATCCGATATCTGCACGAAGATGTTTTCCCGAGAGCTCAGCCGCGTCCTGCCCCAGTCCGTGGCTGTGATGGTGATGTTATACTGTGCCGTGCTCTCCCTGTCCAGCGCCGCGTTTGTTCTCAGTTCGTAATAATTATCAAAAGTGGGGGTGAGGCTGAATGGCAAGTCCCCGTCGATCGAACACTCTGTCCTGCCGTTGTCCCCGGAGTCCCGGTCCCGCACACTGAACAGAGCCACCACGGTGCGTGGCGGGGCGTCCTCGGGAATGGAGGCGGTGAGAGAGGTCAGCGCTATCTCCGGGGCATTGTCATTCACGTCCAGGACTTCTACGTGCACTTTGCAATGCGCAGACAGTTCTCCACCATCGGTGGCTCTCACCACCATCTTGTGGGTTTTCGCTTCCTCGAAATCCAGGTTGCCCCCGACTCGTATCTCCCCGGTGGCCGGGTTCAGCTGGAACAGCTGCCGGGATCGCTCCGATGTCTGGGTGAAGGAATACCACACTTCCCCATAGGACCCTTCGTCGGGATCCGTGGCCACGACTCTGACCACCAGCTGCCCCAAAGGGCTGTTCTCAGCCAGGCGCACCTCATAAACCTCCCTTTCGAAGACCGGGATATTGTCATTGGCATCCACCACCACGATCCGGACCTGAGCCGTGCCCGACCGGGGTGGCGAGCCCCCGTCGATGGCGGTGAGAAGTAAATTCAGCTCCCCCTGCTCTTCACGGTCGAGCTGGTGCTGTAGGACGAGCTCCACATATTTTACTTCGTCTTTCCCTGTTC